TAAAATGGTGAAGTGGGTTTTTTCTGCGTCATGTAGTTATCACGATACACGAGTATGGTATTAAAACATCAATAAAATACATTTTACAGTTATACTGCGTGTTTAAAATATGCACATTTTTAAAGGCTTATAATTTACATAATATACAACAAAGGTCGCTATTTCAATTATTCGTGTTGGCAGGACAGGAAGCGTGCAAAGCATTATTGATTACACTGTATGGCAGTGAAAAAATATAGTAAATTAGCAACATGTGCGTTTTTAAAATTTATTTTAATGTTAGTGGTATCTATTTGATACCCTATTGTTTTTGTTTGTTTGTTTTCCTTTTTTGCTTAATTTAAAGGAAGCTGAGTTGCGTGTTTTCTCTCGGTAATATATCCATATTCAATTTAGGACTAATGTAAGTAGTCTCAAATAATTAGTCCTGCACATATTTTATCTATTTAAAATGTAAATTGGGTTTTCAATATGAGATCTTTATCCTGATAGTGATTTCATATGTCTGCAAATTTTTGCAGGGCTCCGGCACTATAAGATTTAGCACTACACCAATGCCAGTGACATACGATTATTCTCAGTTACAAGATAAGGAAGATTATCATCAATTGTTACTTAAGTCGATGGTGGAAATAATAATGATTATATGACTATATATTTGGTTCTATAGGACTTAACTGGTTATGATAAAGCACATCTACAAGAGAGTAAGAATAGCCTGCATTCAAGTCAATTTTAGCCTTTATTTTCAAAGGCTAGCTGGAAGACTTGCGAGAATATGCAACATCGTCAGCTACAGTGAGTATCCTCATCAATTAATTCATCGGGGTGACGTAAGTTGGCAATCAAGGAATCGATCAGCCAGCTCACATTTTGCAAAGTAACAGAAACAACTTTTTATATTTTTATGTTTTTATATTGTAAGTAAATTTAATAAATGTACAATATGTAAACACACTTGATGCACTCAGTGCATTTTATTGAAGAAATGCAGCCCGATAACCGTATCCCCCTTGCTCCAATGAGCGGTTTTATTGAAGTAATGTAGCCTATAACTGTATTCCCCCTCCTGCTCCAATGAACGTTTTATTGAAGTAATGCAGCCAATAACAATATCCTCCCCTGCTCCAATGAACGGTTTTATTGAAGTAATACAGCCAGTAACGGTAGCCCACCATACTCCAATGAACGGAAGGAGCTGCTACTTAAGTTTTTATTTTCTTTTAACACGACTGTTGTAACGGGCATTGTATTAATTAAAATATTGAATCTTTCATGCGAGTGCTATTTAATGTGCGATTACTATTTAAATATTAGCGAACAATGCTGTTAACATATGATACTTGACAAATATTAGAATGTTTAGAAGTATCTTTGAATTCCTTTATTCTCCTGAAGAACAGTGAACTATTCGAAAACGTTTGAATTCCTGGGCAGCCTTTGATCTTTCGAATACAGCCCTAATATAAACAGTGAAAACATGCTATGATTTTTAATATTACTGACCTAATACTTACATAGCAATACAATTTTTTACCTTAATTATAATACATTTTTACTGCAAGGCACGACTATCCAGTGACCCATGTAAAAGGTTGCAAATGAGCTCAATATTTTGTCAGTTAAGTTTTAAAGGAACTTATTTACAAGTGAGCTTAGAAGTAGCATTAGAGCCCTAGCTCTCTTCAGACTTGTACACGAATAACATTAAAACGTGAAAATCACGGGAAAAAATTACAATTTCTGATCCAGCTAGAGACTGGAAAGCAAAGAAATTCAAGTATATACATTGGACTGAACATAATGTGTGTAGAACTTATGGCCTTATGAAGAATCCTAATTTCTCCGAAAGGAGACCGAAGGACGCCTGGAGGGGGATCACCTATTTTAACCACTCGCACCACAATACAGTAGTGTGTTATCCATCAGTCAGTGAATGAAGTCTCATAAGGGACGCTTAACGTTGCAATTTGTACTGTCGTAGTGTCAGTAATACGTGCGCATGTCATGAATAACGTATTCTGTAGCTACAACACAGCATGACTTATGAACTTCAAAAGCAAGAAATAAAAATATTTGTTGGTTTTAATTTTGGTTTTATTTACTCTTGAAACAACACTTTCGGGAAGCCTACGAAAGTACACTGTAGCTCTACCAAGTGTGTTTCTTTAAAGAGAGTCCAACCCACTTGTTTGTGAATTCTGTATTACAAATTCACCCTTACAGCTCGTTGGCTTTCAATCTTTACATTCTAATATTACAATTAGTATGGTCTCCATCATTGCGGGAATTTAAATTTTACTTGCCGGGATAAGTATAACATACCCTTTAAACTTATGCTTATAGGTGAACAATAATAACAACATTTGTTAAATATTTAAAAAAAGGGGGGGGGTGCAGCCTGAGCTTCACAAAAGGGCCTGTTTCACAGTGTTCGTACCATTTCCTGTGTAAATCGTAACATTTCTGTTAGTTTGTTCTTAGCCTGCATAACATATACGCTTTAATCTCTGTATCCAGAACTGAAAAAAAAAAGTTCTTATATACCGTATTTCTACGAAACTTATCTTTCTGACTGACAGCTGATCAAAAAGGCATTAGTGCCGTGGCTTAGCAGTTGTAGGAACTGTTTTTCTTTTTTTGTTGTTGTTGTTTTTTCAGTTTGGATGGTTCTGGTAATTCTAAATTGCATTCAAGAAGAAACATTCATAAAATATTTTAAAAACTGGTTAAAGGTCCGAACCATTTTCTCGCAATTTCCCTAAATTACATAATGCGTCTCAAAGAAAAAGGTTTCATTTCAGGATACTCCGATTTTGTGATTATAAATGCATACAAGGTTTGAAACTTTAGTTTCTGAGAAAACACCTGTAGTATTGAATTGTATTGGTAAAGCAAGGGAAGGTGAGATTACAAAACAGAAGGGAGGGAAAAAAGGCTACTTCATGACTGGCTACTGTATAGAATGAACAAAGTTATGTTCCTAGAAGTAACCCAGTAACACAGCGGTCCATTGCTCCTAAAATACTAGTCATTCTTGGAACTGAAAACAAGATAAATCACACGGATTGAGGACTACATAAGAGCCATCTTCACATGATTTTCCCAAAGCACAGAACCAAATGTTGAAGCTTATACAAGCGATTTTTGTTATATGATAAATGAAAGTATGTCTACTTAACTGCCTGCAAAAGGCCGAGTAATGTTATATTATCGTCTGCCGATGATACATTTCAAAAATGGTAAAGGACATCTCGCGAAAGTTTTCCAAAGAGAATCATGGTGATTGTAAGTTAGAAATATAATGATAGGTTAAACATCTGTATTGGAAGCCAGTAATGTTTGATTCTGTCAAGAGAGTGAATCCAGCCTTATTTCCAAGTTATTATGCCAGTTCCTCCGCAAGTTGCATGCAAGTAAAAACAGAAAGAATTTGAGACATCTTTTAACTTCTGTGGTTTTGAGGTTGCTGAAACAAATTCTTTAAAGTCGTAAATGGGTTAATGGACTTTGTAAAACAAGGTGAAAAGGGGAAAAAGAATGAGACTATAAAAGCCTCCTGCAGTGGTAATTGCACGGACAATCACATAGAACGCCATCATTAGTGGCAGTAGAGGCACTAAAGACTAAGCACTTATCCTTGTGTCGTTACCATAAATGGTGAATATACTGCTTTCATCTTGAAAAGTTAACTGGTTACATATTGGGAACTTTTAAGAAATGACAAAATATACTGTTGAAAATTCACATATTAATCATGTATAATCACTGGCTTTACGGAAAATTGCCTTTTCTATAAATGTTGTTTTTTAGCAAAAAGCTATACATTTGGCTTTCCGAGTTCTTTCCACCATGGTGAATCAAACCACAGATTTTAGCGTGTAAGTCAGTAAAATTACCTCTGACCTACCAAGGGTCTTTTGTAAATGAAAAGTATTGGTTGCATTTTCTTCGTAACATTTTATTTTATTTTAAACATCATTCAATTTGGATTGCCTCAATTATCAATATGGCTGTACTACTTTTACATTATTAAAACTATATACGTCTTCCGTATTTTATATACATATATTCTACCAGATTCTTTAAAAGCAGGCGTAACTTTATTTCAAAGATAAAAAAAAGTTTAAACAACAGTAATCAGTGGTTCTATGTTTTGATGTTATCGTAATAGCATATTTACTTTTATACGTATTTAAGTTGTTCAAAGTTCTTGGTAAGAAACAGAACAGCACCACATGAATGGGATGTGTGACCAAGAAGACAGACCTATCGAAGGCAGCGTACATAGCATAACACTTACTTAAGAAGTCCCTGTCTTGGAGGAAGTCTACTAGCTTGCATGTGAATTATCGGTAATGTTTGTTCATTTGACTATTTATTGAAAACTAACAAAAACATTACGGCCACAAAGAAACGCAAAACACTCAAAATGACATGAAATGAAGCAAACTTCCATTAGCCTAAACTCAGATGAATGGAAGTAAAAAAAAAAAAAGTTATATCCACGCGTTTCCCCTTGTGTTATTAATCACTACGGGAAAATATAAGCATATAAGAAAGAACGGATATAAAAAGGCTGACTGTGTATAAATGGAAAATGTATATATATATTTTTTACTTTCACAGGAGATAGTGTTTTTCAATAAAACTTTTTTCTGAAACTATTAGTAAATTATATAAAGTTACAATTTTGAAGATATACATATGAAATCGGTAAAATATAATAACTCTACGCTCTTTTTTTTTAAAAAAAAAGGATTAAACAACTATCATAACGTATATAGATTATGCTTATTGACCTTCGAATTGTTGAGCTATACAATAAAAATTGTAAAAATACAGAAAATCTGTGTGCAGATTTTTGACATAGGTATGACTCCATTTTTTATTTTAGATGTTCTGCTTCTATTTCTAATAAATTATTGATTTTTCTTCGCTCTTGAATAATGCATACATTCGCACAACTACTGTAATATTTTCCAAAAGGCTATACTTACAATGCGTTTTTTGGGGTTTTCTTCAAGGGAGCGTTATAGTCTGCATTTGTTGGTTCTGCAGAAATCGCTAGACGTTTACTTCGAGTACTGTCTATTGTTTGCTTTTCATCTACCACACTTCTTCCATTCAGCCTGTCAATGTTATTTTCTTCTCCGTTATAAACACCTTTATTCGAGGGTCCAGCCTCACAGACAAGTCTGATGCGTTCGCTAACTTGTTGAGTTAAAGGTTTCACCATAACACGGTATTTCTCCAATTCCTGTTTCAAATCCTGTATGATGGCTTCTTTTCTGCGTAGCTGTGCTTCTAGTTCACCAATCATAGCGTCCCTTTGTTGCAGCTCTTCACAGATTTCCTGAAGGGCCAGATGAAGTTCGTCGACTGTAGTCATTATATTGATTACCTTTATGTGCCAGTTAATGAAACATTGAGGAGCTTTATCCGCTTTAATATCAATCTTGCATTTTATATTTCCATAACTTCGAAATCGTAACGGGCAGTCAAAGTTTCAAAGTTGATGCAAGAACAATATCTATTTTTTCAGTGTACACAATAGTTAAAGTAACATCACCTCAAGAAGAATAGATTATGATGTAAATAGTTGCGGACACAGTAACCGAGACTTCTTAGTTCCAATTCAGTTTTTTTTTTAGCGAATAGATGCAATGTATGTATAATAATAATCGTGGTAAAAGATAATATTACAGGATGAGCCTCACTTTTTTCTCGTCAAACAATCCTCTGGTACCACATTTTACAAGACGGTCAATATTCACTTACACAGAGAGAGCAAAGAGGACCGGGCCTAAAGAGCAAGACGTTCGAAGAAAATACCAGAAAACTCAGTGTAAAAACAATTACCGATGTTCAAACCGCGTACTGCGAAATGACAAAAATCAGCATCCACACTTTGGTATAAGTACATATATTTTACACTGTACAAGTACATATATTTTACACTGTACAACTTCCAAAGTCATCTGTTACTACTAACAGCTTAAAAAGTCTTCAACTATGCATTCTACTATGATTCGTTTAGTGTGCTGCAGCCTGTATAGTGACTACTGTCAGAGCAATTGTACACTTATGTTCGTTAGATATAACGTCCCATGGAGAAGTAACTACACATCCACACTAAACGTCTAATCTAGAATATATACAGGATGCTGTTACATTGCTACACAGAATATTTAACATTGTTCGATACAAGAAACTTACGTAACTGGTCGAAAGTCTAAACTTTATAGTGACGTTGAATATTAATAGCACCCTAACTGAACAATTAACGCTACTACATAGACAACACCGACTACAGCCAAACGTATGCTCTAAAATTAGTTTCTTCATCGACTAGGAGTTCATACCCCAAGAGAACTAATTAAAATTACCAAATGTAGCCGCAAAATTTTAAAGCATCAACTTCGTGGTGTTCGACTGTCAACTTAAGCGAACACGTAAATTCGCTAAGTCTGCTTCAATTGCGATCGTATTTTGATCTTACTGTATTACTGACCTTCGTTGAAGCTACTCTGGAGTTTACTTCCTTTTATGGTTGTTGTGTGTCATACATACATCCGACTGTGGAAAATCTAATTCGCAGAATCGATCATTCGAAGCATGAACGAAAACATCTGGACTATAATGGCTTTCTAACTGGCTTATCTCGGTCTACGATCACAAAGTCACAAGCTGCATGTTCTTGTTGTATCGATATATTAACATGGATTTTTTGCTTCAGTAATCCGCCATGGGGAAACACTTTGTTAACTCACAATCTTGGTTTACCATGCGTAAAAGATCAAAGGTTCAAGAAAAAACTAGACACACGCGCAGATATTTCAATGGTCTGAACAGAGCTTTATAAGAATACACGCTGTGAATACTGTTCATATTGTCTATAGTCTATAATTATAAAAAAGGAAGGTCAAAAACAACAATAAATTTTTAGGACTAAGCTTCCATACCATTTACTTCAATACAGAATGAAGTTTTAAAACCTTAACAGACAAATAAGATCACAATGGCAATGTGGAAGTACTAAATTAACGACAAGCACGCTCGTGAGCGGACGCTCAGTCTTTAGTGACACATCACGTCCCCATACTTTCCCTGGCTCACTCATTACTTTAATAACACGAGGGTAAACGAAGCTTTCTTCGTATTTGTTTTACTGGAAAACTTTGTCGCAATACATAAGAAATTCTTTTCATCAATACCTACAAAATTAGAACACCTCACTCGCTCAGTAGCTCCACCATCCGGACTGAACAAGCAAGTACACCATTCATTCGTCGTTTGTAATAACTTATCTATTTTTAACTGATGGGCGTTTTCCTCCGTTTCCGCAGCAAAGCCAAGATCACGTGACTTTAGCTTGCATATTATATAGGAGTACTAATGACGGGGGCTGATTACTTCCTTACCTTTAAGTCTCCCCATTATTTTATCTTGCTTTTCTTTTTTAATCATACAAATATTTTAATCATAAATTGCGCATGAGCATAACTTATCAGGTATATATAATCTTAATTTACATTGGTACGCAATACAGAGCTATGACGAGACAAGAGTTGTTGAGTTTTTTTTTCAGTATCAACGTTACCAAATGCCGGCCGATCCTATGGTCGGAATGATGGATGTAACTATTCAATGAATGAGGTTGATAATGATGAGCAAGAAGACCAGGTTAGCCTGTGTGACGAGGCAAAATGTACAGGTAAAAGTTGTAAGCCCGATCGTGAAAGACCTAATCAATCTACTTCTAGTGAGTTCCTAGTAGCTACTAAAATAAATCAAGGTGAAGAAAAGTCACGACAAGAAAGATTAGTTCAGACAAGTTGTTTAAACAGTGGCCATGGTTTACACAACTTATAAGCAGACAAACGTTATGTTGCTTCTGTTGCTGAAAAAAGTCAACAAAAACTAATGGCATTCAGCAAATGCTGTATTTTCAAAAGTAAGTTTCTAAACGACCCACAAAGTAGGAGTTTAGACATTCTCATTCTGAAGCCTGCATCAAAGTAAAAGTGCGGTAAATGTTGCTTCAATGCTAGATAAGGCTCAAGAAAAAAAACAAACAGCAATTGGTTATACAAAGAATATCAGCTATCTTCAAGGAAATATCTTCTACAACGAGGGTGGGCTTCAGGGGCCATGATAATAATAAAGGAAATTGTATGCAGTCGTTAAAGTTACGCTTTGAAGATGATTATCAGTTGCAGATGTGGTTATCAGAGAGTAAATATCTTCATCCAGCTATTATTATGAGCATATCCGAGCATATGAAACTGAACACTGATCAATTCGTGCATGACATTCTTTCAGATATTAGATCAGTTCCCAGGTTTACTGTTATACAAAAATGAAGGTACTGACATCAAGTTTAAAGAGCAAATGTCTATATTCACTAGATAGGTAGGTGAACAGTATGAAATTGAGAGGAATTAGTTGGCTTAATCCAAATGTCAAAAACTGACTCTTAAACACTGGCAAATGCTTTGAAGGGCGTATTTACTCAATGTATGCTACTGCTTAATCGATGTACGTCATGCAAGCGCATCAAACTCAACTGCCATGTACATGAAGTAGCTGTAGTACCAAATCTCAGCAGCCAGCAGAACTTCACGTACATTGACTTACAAATCGTTTTAAGTAGTCTTCGTGATGCTACTCGAATCTGAAGTCATGTTCGACACGATCTCGATCTAATAATGGAATTTCTCAAACTAATGAAGTCTATAAAAATATCCCATCTCTTTGAAATTCTATAAAGTCACTAATATCTCCTGGTACAAATGATTTAAGGGTTACTCTGTTCCAAGTATCAAAGTTGTCTGTTCAAACTGACACAATTGGAGCAGCATTAGCTAATTATGGTATACTATGTACAATATTAGATGAAGTCAGTGAAAGCTAAGGAACTTTTGGCACACTTTGCAAAGTTACGCACTTTCTGTGGTCTCAAGCTGCTTTCCTGGAAATATCGTGCACATTGCAAGGCGAAGATACTACAACCCAAGAGGGAAAAGAAGCTGTACTACTAACTGAGCCTTACCTCTAAAGATAGAGAACAGATGCTGCTTATTATGGGTTTTATGTGGATGTTCCAACCAATTCTCGCGATTTAACAGGTGATCTAGTGCTACCTATAAAATGAAAGGTTCCTCGAAAAACAACTGATGGAACTGAATGCTGTGAGCCTGAAAGGGCCAGAGATTATTTTGAAGTTTCTAAAGAAATCTCAAGATGGTTTGTTCTTAAGGATTTTGCTACCATTGTGGACATTGATGGAGTGGTATTAGCAGCTGGAAATGGGCAGGAGTTTACAGTATCTGAAATTGTCCAAACCTTGTACAAAGTAGATATAAAAATGAAAAGGCTATCAAGTCACAAACTAATTTAACAGGAAAACCAGTAAAGAAAGTTACTAATGTCCATGTATTATGCAGTTACTGAATGAAACCCTTCGTTCTAAACTTTGTGTTCAGATCTACAACGTTTGCTGCAATTATTTCTCATCACCCCAGTGACAACAGCAATTTCATGAGTACATTTTCAGTGATATGAAGACTTAAACCTATATTAGATCTTACATGAGAGAGGAACGACTTAAATGTAATCTGCTTCATTGCTACAATTCAATAACTGATTGGAAAGATGAACACCAGATGGCTTCTACTTTTATTGCTACAAATGAGCTCAGACTGCAATTTTTCGACGAAATGTAATAAATTGTGTAATTATTACTATTATAATTATTTTGATTTTTTTTATTAATTATTTTGGTGGAAGTACAGATATACTGAGAAATTAATGTTAATAGTAGCTAAGACCACAGTCACCCCCACCCAACTCCAAACACACAAAGTGAAAATACTTCCTTCCCCACTGTATTAAATGTACTTAACTATATAGTTTTAAAAACAAAATAAGCCGAAACATTTGTTAACTTAAACAAAATATTTGTTTTTTACTGTGGACATATGTTTTAATTAGATTTGTATTTTCATGATATGTCACGATTTTTTTTTTCCAAAAACAGCAAAAAGTTCAAGTTAGGGGTGTCCGAGAAATCTAAATCTACTGAAATTCAACATATATGATATGCTAGTTCTCAGCAGGCCATACTCTGAAAACACAGTTAAATATATGCAATATTTAATGTTTGATACTTTTGTTTTCCCACAAGAACTATTATTATTCTGAAATGACAAACTATGCAATTATATTTTCTATAGATAAGCTCTGAAAAATTAACAACGTAAAAAAACAACAACAAAAAAAAACATTGTTAACGACGAGTGGTACAAAAATGTGCGTTGTCTATGTCCAAACATATAGCAGAGAAGCTAACAGAATATAAGTAACCCTGCACAAATAGGGTGAGAAGTATCACCCCCGGCGAAGGTTCGAGTCGTCTGAATCTATATAATTGGGGGAGGGCCAGGTATGAGTTTTTCTCGTGGAGCAAAAACAAAACATTTGTACCTGTGTGTTTTGCGTAAAGGACGCGTCACCTTTATACATGGTAACCAGGATTTTCTGTGTGTCGTTCTAACTGTTCTGTTTTTACAGATACACAAATAAAAGATGATTGCATCCGTTTTGAGTCTTTATCTTTGACATTGTTAATCTATGCGACAGGCTTATGTTTCTGCACGTTGAATTTCATTCAATAAATAGCTTAGTCGAAAAGTATGACAACCTTATATTTTGTGCACGTTAAAGTACACTCTTGGAATAGTTCGGACCAGAGGAGCGGCGACTTAAGTTTATTAGTTGAGACTGTAGTCTTAATAACGCGCGTTTTCTTCGTTCATTACGAATACCAAGAATTGCAAGGCTTAACCTTGTGGTAAAGCTCCGGTTTTCGGAGCAGGCGAGGTGGTTCTAATGCATGCGATACCATAAATATTCCAGGTACTTTAAGCTGTGCGTGTATTATAAGAGTGACAGTCAATCCCTTTCATAGATGGCAAGTGGTAGGATGATGCTGACTGGTTGCCTTCCCTCTGGTCAGTAGCTCAAATTAAGGGACGGTGATTGACAGCTTACATTAGCTTTGCCATAAATTGTTAAAA